ATTTAAATCGCGATTTCAATTAATTTAAAATGTTTGACCCTATAAAATATAAATTTCTACCGACAGTGATAATGAGCAGTATATAGCAATGTATGCTGTTATCCAAGTAACAAAAATACTAATAACTTGAAATAACATATTAACGACTGATATTACCATCTAATCAAACACAAGGTTTGGACTGTGTCACATCTAAATCAAATATAAAGTTTGGTCAAATAATTGCCGTGTATTTTTACAATATGGGACATGATCAACTCTCATCAGTTTTCCAATAATAAGTCTTACACTTATTTTAGTTGTTAATTTTTATACATCATATGATTAAGATTTATTATTTTTAAACCAATGTAAGAAGATCCTGCCTTTTTTTTCATATTTATTGTAAAAAGTTTAAAACATAATTTATTCACCTTCATATAATAAATTTAGGTAGTGTTTGGTAGAAGATTTATTTTGGGATTGATGAGAAAATATAAGTGGATATGAGAAAATATCACGTTTGGTTCAGATTTTTGAAAAAAATACTAGGCAAATAGGATAGATGGAGAAATGACTTTTGTGTTGATTTTTGGATGAAATTCACTGTTACAGAATACCATTTGAGATGTGGTATTTTGAGATAACTGAGAAAGTGAAAAAATAGGTGCGAAGTTTCTCCCGAACATAGATTTTGCAAATTTAAATAAATTTTCCTGGTAATATTTCGGTCAACCAAACAACTTTTTTTACATTTTCCTACCAAACTCACTTTCCAACCATTTCCCTAATAATTATATTTCCCTAGTATTTAAAAAATTTATCCTCAACCAAACGTCACCTTAATATTTTTCTCTTTATGAGTGAAATAAACTATACAAGCATTTTCTTTCTCATGTAATGACGTGTCTTTCTCGTGTAATGACGTGTCTCTCTCATTTCGTAATGCATTTTTTTTAGCTTTCATATCAAATTAAATAAATATTTTTTAAATAATTATTCATTTAAAAATATATTTTTAATTTTTTATTTCTTTAATCGTTATTCAAATTTTTGAAAATTAATATTTAGCAGGAAAATTTACAAATTTTAAAAAAATAATATTTTATCAATTCAACTAGTTTTTGAGATTTTCAAAAACTAACAATGTTAAACGCTTATTTTTTCTAAATTTTATTTAATTTTTTGTTATCAATAAAATAATCTTCAATCAATTAGATTAAATTTTTAATTAATTTTTATATTTTATTTGTCCTTATAATGAATGAAGTGATTTACTATTAACTTAGAAGCTTATTCTCATCTATATGGTTAGACGATATTCATTTTTTTTTTCCTTAAAAAAAAACCCTGTGATGTTTGACACGACTGAATAAGAGCCTAAAAAATATGACCGGTAAAATAAATAATAATAACCAACAAAAAATAACATAATAGTCTTACTAGTTTCCGCAGTCATCAACAAAATGTCTTTTGTACAAAGAACAACAAGAAATCAATAAAAAAATCAATAGATAACGGAGTTCAGAAAGGAAAGAATTAAACAAATAGTAACCAAAAAAGATAAAGAATGGTGACAAGCAATCTAACTTTACCGTTCGATGGGAGAAAAAAAAAATTATATCCGAAATCATAATTTTTAGAAATATATTGAGAAATTTTTCGAGAATATTATCAAAAAATTATTTATTAGGCTAAAATATTACAAGAAATGTTACCAAAAAATTGTGTAAAATTTTTCAATATCATGCGAATCTAAGAATACGACCTTTTTGGTGGTATCTTTGGAAAGTATTTTGGTTCAAAAAGCTTTAATTTTTTTTTATGGAAAATTGATTTTCCTAGAAAATTTTAACAATACTTATACCAAATGTGCCAGCTTTCCGAGAATTCAAATTTTTTTCTTATACCAAACGTCCCCTAAAAGAATATATATAAGGGGGGAATTGAAATATTGTGATTTTTATAGCTATTTACGAAAATAGTTGTTTTGAAACTAAAGACGAATCTATTGCACTCAGTCACGCCCAACATGAGGCGTGACCCAGGAGAGAGATACGTTTTGCATAAGATGTGAGTCAAGAGGAGAGAAACACACCCAGTGTTGGGCGTGAGCCAAGAGAAAGACATGCCCTATGTGGGGCGTGACTAGGGGCCATAACCTGTATTATTTGAGCGTGATTAACTCAGTTCTGCTCTATTTAAACCGCTCTTCTCTCCACACTCTTTACAACTATTCTCCATCATAAACCTTACTCTTACACATATTATCACTTGTTTATTCATACTATCTTTTGTGTTTTTTGTTAATATATTTAAGAATGAGTTCACATCCTGATTTTGTTCGTGTTGTTCTATATTATAATGGTAGGAAAATGAAAGGTCGACGTGATTTAGATTTTAAAGGCGACAAAAAGCTAACACACATGAAGCAGAACTCAACAATTGGCGAACGACATTAGAAAATTCGTCAAAAAATAACTCTTAAAGGTAATCAATCTATCACTCTGGTCACAACAAAATTATGGCAATCTGAGCAATACATGGGCTTTCAAGTTATGGATGATGAAGACGTATATATGGTAATGGAAGATGTAACGCCAATCTGCTCAAACTCCCCTCCAAGCAATGGAATGTAACGACATATAATTTTCCTACCCACCGATATGTCGCATAGGAGCCATGCTTCTAATATTCGAACAATGGGCGCCTTAAGTGTAACACCTCATCTCCTCATGATGCTCTGCAACTGGACCCCAATGGGCATACAATCAGTGAAAGTATGAAAGTCGTAGATCGCCACCAAAGAGGTCAGTGCCCTCAATGGTTACATTACCGAAAACCTGCTCACACTCGGCCAATCGATCCAATGTGATACTTTCGGTAACTACTTGCCTGTTAGTAGGCAATCCTAGTATAGCCGCTACGTCCTGTAAGGTAATGGTCATTTTTCCCTGCTCATGTGAAAGATGTGTGTCTCTGGTCTCCACCACTCGACTAAAGCACTGATAAGGGCGGAATCAACCTGAAATACATAAGACAATTGTCAATTCATCTGTAAACAATTCACTAATTTATAAAGATTAGTGTAAACACAATATAATACATTACATTCTAAAATATATACCTGAATATGATGCAAGCGTGCCACATGTATAAAACTCGCCTGTGTAAAGTACTCAGCGACCACGTGTGGAATATCATCATGAGGGGGTCCCCCTGCAGTTTACCCCGTCAAGTCTTCAACGCTCGAATCTTATCCTCGTTCCACACAGTGTGTGAAACGTGCGTGCACTAGTATCTCCCACCTATATGGTCCAAGAATGACATGTGTGGTGGGGTCGGAAGGCTCAAACTCATGCTCGGAGGTAGACCGAGAAGACTTGAATGATGACGAATCAGCCATAATAATATATTATTAAAAATAAAAAATGATTGTTATAATTAATTTATTTTCAAATAATTTACAAGCCTAGTCCAAGATTAAAAAATTAAATTAAATTAAATTATAATTTATTTATTTTTATTAAAAATATGTGTGCACATATTATAATTCCCTATAATTATCTTAAGTCACTAATCATGCCCTACGTCACTAACATTTCCTAAGAGCCTGTTTGGATCCTCTCTTTTTTAAGCTAGAAGCCGCTTATAAGATAAAACTAAAAAAAAGACTAAAAGATGTTTGGTGACTACTTAAAATTTTTGGGAATGAATCATCTCATGTGGAAAAGTGGTCATGTGGAAAAGTGGTTTAATCACAACCATTCATTTAAAAATTATACACTTTTCTCTCTCTTATCTCATCATCAATGAGTGGTTGTGATCAAATAACATGACCACATGACTATAAAATTTTAGCGTAAAAGTTACTTAAAAAACACATATTTCAAGAAAACTCTTCTATCTCTATAGCTCTTCATTTCAAAAAAATGCACACAATTTAAGAAAAATAGATAAGAACTTAAAAAAAGCTTCTCCTAGGAGCTTTTGGCTTTTAACCTTTTTTTATTATAAAAAAAGAGCTTTTCATTATAAGAGCTTTTTCTCAAAACCTGTTTGACCGAGCTTCTGCTTATAAGTAGTGTTTTGCTTAAAAAGAAGAAGAAGAATCCAAACAGGCACTAAGTTACTAACAATTCCCTAAGTCACTAACAATTTTCTATGTCCTTAACAATTTCCTACGTCACTAGTATAACATATCTATTGTTGTAACTCAAATATATAGAAAGCAGATATTGAGATTTACTTGACTAACAAAGCTTTGCTGCGCAAAAAAATTAAGGAGAAATCTAGAGAGAAATCAGAGCAATATTTTAGAGAGAATGTGTGAAGTGAAAAAGTGAAAAATAAGGGTATATATAGGGTTATTAGGTCATGCCCCACATAAAACGTGTCTCTCTCCTCTTGACTCAAACCTCATGCAGGATATGTCTCTCTCTTAGGTCACGGCTCATGTTGGGCGTGATTGAGCACATCTTATTTTAAGCATGACTGAGTGTAATAAATTTATTTTTAATTTCAAGACAGTTATATTTTCATAAATATTTATTAAAATAACAATATTTTAAAAAAAAATTCCCTACAAAATTATGCATCCCACCAATTTTTACCAGTCTTCGATTCCAAACAAAGACCAACAGAATCACTCTCTTATCTTCTTGTTTTCCTATTTTTGCAATAATTAAAGGGAAATATTACTCTCTTTTTACATGAGGTAACTTATCTCATTTTCTCTCACTTCGATTTTTGCACTTAATTTTTTTTTTTTTTTTTTTGTTGTAATGGTGGGACCCACCCATTTTTTCTCTACCACATAAGATAACTATCTACCACATAAGATAATTATCTTATGTGGAAGGAGATTAATAAAATCCATAATTAAATTAGCTGGAAGTCCAGTCAAAAGTCAAAACATCTAAGAACAACATTGGAAATATCAAGTTCCGAGTTCCACCAATAGAAAAAGGCAAAGAAAAAACAAAGCTAGCTGCAAGTTGCAACGACTCTCAATCAAAGAAACCGCTTTCCACGTTCACTCTCTACTTTATCTTCTTCTCCGGGTCCTTGGGTCCTTGCCATCAATCTCCGCGTAGCTTCCACATTTTACCAACTCTGCCCTCCTCTTATTCCACAAACCGCGTCTCTCAAGAGTAATATCCGTCATTCCATTATTCTCTTGTCCTTCTTCTTCGCACCCTTTTGAGTACAAGTGATGCAGATTTAACTAGCTAGCTTTCGCTGAAAATGGCTGAAAACGGCGAAGAGAAATTACTGGCTGTGGCGCGGCACATAGCGAAAACGCTGGGCCACAACAACAACATGGCTGATGATATTCTTCAAATATTCTCCAACTTCGATGGAAGGTTCTCGAAGGAGAACCTGTCAGAGAAGGTTGCAGATGCTGATCCCAGGGCCTGCGCCGTACTGGATCACTCCCTCAAGTCACTTGACCTCCGGATCTCTCACTACGTCTCCTCCGACCGCCCTATCTGGGCGGATTCGGCCGACGCCGCTGCTTTCCTCGACGCCGTCGACGACCTCATCGCCACTGTCTCCGAGTGGAACCACCTTGCCTCCGACAAGGCCGTCGCCGCGTGCCTCGTCCGCGCTGAGGACATGCTCCAGCACGCCATGTTCCGCCTCGAGGATGAGTTCCGATCCCTCATGGAGCGCGGCGGCGAGTCGTTCGACCTAACTCGGCCGTACCGGAACGGCGAGTCAACGGAGAACTTACCGTTTGACTCGGAGGAAGAGGATGAAGAAGTTGACGAAGAAGCCAGGAACGGAGGAGGAGAAGCGGAGGAATTGATTCCTGTGGCGTTGCCGGTCACCGACTACGACATCGTGATCGATGCGCTTCCGTCGGGGACGATCAACGACCTTCACGAGATCGCAAAGCGCATGGTTGCAGGAGGGTTCGGGAAGGAGTGCTCGCACGTGTACAGCAGTTGCCGAAGGGAGTTCTTGGAGGAAAGCCTGTCGAGATTAGGGTTACAGAAGCTAAGCGTCGAGGACGTTCACAAGATGCCATGGCAGGAACTCGAAGACGAGATTGAAAGATGGATTAAGGCTTCCAACGTCTCTCTAAAGATACTGTTCCCTAGCGAGCGGCGACTCTGCGACCGCGTATTCTTCGGGTTCTCTTCTGCTGCTGACTTCTCTTTCATGGAGGTTTGCAGGGGATCGACAATTCAGTTGCTGAATTTCGCCGATGCCGTCGCTATTGGGAGCCGTTCGCCGGAGCGATTGTTCAAGATCCTTGATGTGTTCGAGACATTGCGTGACTTAATTCCTGAGTTTGAGTCTCTGTTTTGTGATCAGTACAGTGTGTCGCTCAGGAACGAAGCAATCACAATTTGGAAGAGGTTGGGGGAAGCAATCAGAGGAATTTTCATGGAGTTGGAGAATCTGATTCGCCGTGATCCGGCAAAGTCGGCGGTTCCCGGTGGTGGACTTCATCCAATTACTCGCTACGTGATGAACTACCTTCGTGCAGCTTGCCGGTCACGGCAGGCCCTGGAGCAAGTGTTTGAAGACTATGGGTTTCCGTTGAGAGAATACCCCAAGCTTGATGATAGAGTTCCGCCCTCTTCTTCTCTGTCAGTGCAAATGGATTGGATAATGGAGCTTTTGGAGAGCAATTTGGAAGCAAAATCCAAAATCTACAAAGACCCTGCTTTGTGCTATGTTTTCTTGATGAATAACGGCAGGTACATAGTTCAGAAGACCAAAGATAGTGAATTGGGAACCCTTTTGGGTGATGATTGGATCCGAAAACACACTGCAAAAGTTCGGCAATACCATGTGCACTATCAAAGAAGCTCATGGAATAAGGTGCTGGGGTTTCTGAAGCCTGACAGCAATGGATCAGTGCCGCCTAATGTCGCAGCTAAGTCTATGAGAGAGAAGCTCAAGTCGTTTAACATGCTGTTTGGGGAAATATGCAGGGTTCAGTCTTCATGGTTTGTCTATGATGAACTGCTTAGGGAAGATATAAGAATTTCCCTTGAGAAAATTTTGTTGCCAGCTTATGGAAACTTCATTGGGAGGTTCCAGAGTATTCCAGAACTTGGTAAGCATGCTGATAAGCATATTAAGTATGGAACGGAGGACATTGAAGCACGACTCAATGATTTGTTTCGGGGAAGCACTGGATCAAGTGCTAGCCGAAAGTGAAGGTAAAGCTGCTATTTTGTGTGTGTATGTATTTGTAGTGTAATTAGAAATTTAGAATACAGAGTTTTGGTTATCAAAACGTTTGTTGTAAGAGATTTGGAGCCTTGTGCTATAAATACCTGTGTTGTACTATATGTATTCTGATAAAATTTATGGAAAATCGAAAAGGATTTTGAAGTTAATAGCCATTTTAGTGACGAAATTAACATTTTTGTTGTAACATTGAGGTGTTTCTTTTGGTTATTGCTTCAAACTGTTCCATTGTGCAGTGCTTATAATAGTTTCAAGGACTAGGAGTTTCCTGAATCAAGAAATTTAGTATGTTTTGTCTTTTAATGTATGTATTTTTCCTGTTTTTGGTCTTTATGTTTTAGAATTGCTCTGTTTTAAGTCCAAGTCCCTGCAAGGATTGGATTCTTGTTTCATTCGTAGAAGATTCATTTGTATTTTATTGAAAAAGACTGGAGATAATGGGTTGTTCTCTGACTAATTAGGGATTTTGGGTTGATGGAATTAGATCGGGGCCAGCCAACATTTTCTTTTTCTTCTTTTGCTTTTGTTTGATAATAGCTAAAGAGCGACAAAGGTGAGTCAATTGATTAATTCAAGAAAATGTTGATGCAGTGTGACTTTATAGGAAGGAAGACATAAAGCACTGTCCCCTCATTCCGTCTCTCGATGATCTCGTTTGTTTATTTCTTTCATCCAAATACCGAAGGTGGAACAGAGAACCCCGTAACTGATTTTCAATATTTTTGAGGAATTGTTAAGTGCTCAAAAATATTTGTTATTCTTAATGACATAATTTTGAGTCATTTTTAATGAAATTATATTATTTTTTCTCCACTTTTTTTTTCTTTCTAATTTTATAAAAAAACAAAAATATATCAAAATTTCATTAAAAATGACACAAAGTCATGACATTTAAAATGATAAACAGTTAACCTTATTTAATATATGTAAATTCAAATTCAACTGTTATATTGAAAGCGTTCTTAGTTATGGTTTTCCAGCTTTTTCTCAACTTTGATCTAGTTCAAGTCGAGTAGCGCTTATGACAAACTGTAGCATTCATTTGAAGTTATCTTGAAAAAAAATAAAAATATATAACCACTTGCAAATTGAGACTTAAATTAGATTTTTTTTAACGTGTGCCTTCAACGTGCCAAATAATATCGGTAATATTATTTTAAATTAATTACTTAGAGTTAGAATATAATTTTGTACTAATATCTGAGTTTATTATTAATTAATTCATTATAAATTATGGGAGTAATTTTTTTTTTGGGACAGTACTTTTTTATATGTACTGTTGGTATTATATGATTTGATATGATAACTTTATTATGAGATGTCGTGTAATCAAAATATAATGGGATGAAATTGACCGAGAAACAAATAAATGTAATTTTTTAGAATTTTGAGTAATAAGACTGCTAATTTGAATACGAATAAATCGTGCAGGCAAATTTTCTTGTATTCTTATTCATACGAGGGACCCTACATAATCAACATGACGTTCCTTTACTTTTTATTTTTTAATGTTTAGACTTGTAAAGCTTAAGGTTTCACAAAAGGAATCTGAATATGAGTCCAACCAAACTACAGAGATCTGGCAATGCCTAATATAAGTCCCCCTGGATATCATAATGCCGCTCCTCTTTAATTGATTAAGTCAAAAATTTAATTGATTAAATGATCAAAATAGACAAAAATTGTTGACTTGAAGATTTAGTCGATTAAATCTCCCTATTTAATCGATTAAATATCTCATGCATAAGGTTGTTCTTCTGATAAAGAAGAAAAATTAATCGATTAAGTAGATTTAATCGATTAAGTTGAAGATTTAATCAATTAAATCTTCATTTGACCATTTAATCGATTAACTATTCAATTTAATCGATTAAAGAGAGACAGATTAATAGATAATTTACAATAAAGGACAAAATAGTTATTAAATAATTAATGAGAAGCAAAATGGTGAAAAAGCCCTAAGTATCATAATAAGAATAAGGACAACTAATTCTTTGTATCTTTCCTAGCTGATAGAGCTTGCTTGTTCTCAATCTCTTTTTTTTTTCCCTCTTCCCTTCTAGAGTTTTTTTTCCAAAATTTTCAAGATCTCATCTGTCTTTGATTTTCTCTAAATTTTTGAAATAATAATTAATAATCCCCTTAACCTTTATTTATAGAGAAAATATTTAAGAAATGTTCAAAAACTCCCCTATAATTTTATTTTGAATCAGTTACATCCATATGCTTTTTAAAAAAAAAATCATATTACCTCTATGGTTTCTTCCATCCAAACACATTCTTAACACAGTGTGAAACTGAACTAATTTACTTATTTTATCCTTGTTAGAAAAAAAGAATAGATTAACGATAAAAAAGAAAAAAAAAATAAGATAAAAAAATTGGAAACTTAAAACACTTAAAGAAAAAACTAAAATAATAATAATAATAGAAGAAAAAAATCAAAACGAAGAAAAAAAAAAATTAAGGAAAAAATAGAAAAAAATAAGACCAAATATATTGAAACTTACAATAGTAATAGAAAAACTAAAAGTAAAAAAAAAAAGACTAGATAAAAAAGAAAAAAAATAGACTAATGTCAAAAAAGGAATAAAATAAAAAATAAGACAAAAAAAACATAGAAGAAAAAGAAATCATTAATATTTTTTTTTCTATTTTTTTTCTTCAATCTATTTTCTTCTTTTTGATTTAGGTATGTTTGGTAATTTTCTCTTCTAATTTTTTTGGCACATTTAGTCTTTTCCATAACTGTTAAAAGAAATGAAAGAAAAAATAAGACAAAAAAAGAAAAGAAAAAGATGTCATTGTTATAAAATTTCAAAATATTATCTTATTTTTTTATTTAGTTTTTTTTTTTTTAAATCTTTTCTACTATTGTTATATGTTTTTAATATATTTAATTTTTTTATCTTCAATCTATTTTAAATCTCTTCTAATATAAGAGTCTGTTTGGATAGAGTTTTTTCTCACTAAAAATTAATTTTTTTAAAAAAATAACTTCTCACTAAGTTTATTTAGATATTTATTTAAAAAAAAAACCAAAAATGAAAAAAAAAATCCAAAATAACCCAGCCCGTGTTGTCAACATCAAAATGAGAATCGCGTGAAAAAGAGTTGTTTGGAAACAGCTGGTTGTGACCGCTGAAACTGACATCACTATCTTGACTCGTGAGAGCTTCCGAAGTCTTCGAACCCCTGGTTGTGTGGCAATAATTTTCTTCTAATTTACGAAGTTCCCTTCCATATCAAACCCTTCTCTTCCTTTTACATCATCACAGTTTTATAAGCCAACCCAAAGACGCCACTCTTTGAAAAGTAAGTACTATGCTTAACGGAATTTCCAATCGTTTAAATCAGAAAAAGCTATGGAGAGTTGTGGGATTTATGTCAAGCATCGTTGGACTGCTCTGCTATGCATTGAGCTCCTCTTTCAAACATCTATTTGGAGAGTTGAACTTCCTCAAGATCATCCTTTACACCGTCGTAAGTTTCATAATCAGCAACATGATGTTATTTTTGAAGAAATGGAAACTTTCGAGGAGTTTCTTACAGAAAGCTCATGTGGGTGTTCTTGTTTTGTTGCTCACCTCTTTGTATTCGTTTGAAATTGATAAAGCTGTGAATGGAAAACCAGACCTATTAAGTCTGATTTCGAGTGCAGCCTTTGCTTTAATGTCTTTGTGCCTGTCAAAACAGATTAACCTTGGGTTTGAAACGGATCTCCTCAATTTCTTCCTTGGATGTCTAACTGTTCAACTCATGAAGATAAACTTGATTCTCTGTATCATTACAGCCATATTCAGCTATTCCCTCATGGTTCTTTATTCCAAATTGGGTTCTCAATCAGAGATTGGAACTCTAGAAATGGATAATCATGTGATCGTAGAAATTGATGCTGCAGATGGAGTAGAAAGAGGAGGTGATGACAATAGAAGTAAATTCCAATTTGATCATACCAATGGCAGCCAACAAATTGAGGGGTTAAGAAGAAGGCAAGATGATGGGTACAATTGGAGAAAATATGAAGAGAAACAAGTGAGAAGAAGTGAGAATAAGAGAAGCTACTACAAATGCACATACCCCAATTGCTCTGTGAAGAAAAAAGTTGAAAGAGATGTAAATGGGCAAATTATTGAGATACTCTACGAGGGTACCCATGTCCATTGGAAGCCTGAGCATACAGTGAAGAGGAACTCATCATTTGAATATCTTTATTCACTTCTACCTTCAGAGCCTGTCCTCACTGACATGCCAGATCAATCATTTGCCTCCCATGGCAGTGGACAATTGGATTATGATGCAACATCTGAGAAATCCTCAGTATCAATATGAACTGTTGAATTTTTATTTTTTTGTTTTAGTTGGTTCCCTGAAGAATACTGATATAGAAGTTTGGAACAATTGAGTTGTTTTGAGGGAAGTAGTGGATCGGCTAGTTGCGGAAAGGGAAGCTAATGCCACTGATCGTTTCCTTCCCTGCTCGTTAATCTGTAATGCATGTTTGAATCTAATATTCAGGGTACCGTATCTTGAGATATATAAGGCCTTGGTCACTCCCAACCATTATGGAGTTGGAGGTGGTGTTCCCGCAGATAGTGTAACACTCAAATCAATATCTGAAAGTGAATATGAAGGCAATATGCTTACCTGGCAAGATCTTGAACGAGAGTGTAGACCTTTGTTTATGTATGGCGGTGTCCAGAGTTGAGAGTGGATAAGATATGAGTAATGGGCCATCAATTTTGGGATTTCTTTAAAGAGTTGTTGTTTGGTTTAATATTTATTGATTTTGTCATCTTTGTTTTATAGTAGAGTAAGAGAATGGACAAAGGAGTTATGTAGATCCCGAAACCAATCCAGAATAGTATAATTGCACTTTGTATCATAATTTATGCAATTTAACACATTGCACCCTTCTTTAATATTCTTTAGCACTTTAATAGAGTTAAGTTTTAATAATTAACCGTCAAAAGTTTGCTTTTACTATCTACTTTTTTTTTTCTCCCTCCTTATTTCTACGCCATCTTTTAAGAACTTCCAACAAATACTTGATCTTGCTCGATGGCTTTGATGATAGCTTTGGTTATGAAGTTACGTAGAGCAGAGTTCAACCCAGATGGATGAATATCATTGTCATTCATCTAAAACTGATAAAGTACAAGACTAATACCCAAAAGTACATGACCGTAAAGTTACTTTCAGCATTGGTAAAACACATCCAAAGGAACAAGTTGTTTTGGACCGGCGACCTGGCCCCTAGCCCTTCATATGAGGATTGAGACCCAATGAGATAACTTGGACTAGGCTTCTATTCTTTTTTCAGGTAGGAGGCTTATAATGGAGTATATCAATTCACAGCATAGCACTCAAACACATCATTTAAATTAGTGCAGATAATTGAATTTTATTTAACTTTTATTTTTGTCTCTTTGCATCACTTACACAGAAACAAATTTGTCACATTTTATATATGTAAATAATGTGACTCGCGCCTTACTTAAAAAATATATTATCCATATGAAATTGGAACTTGGGCAGGACTTCCACTTCTATGTGCTTAGTAAAATACTGATAGGCTGCTTCGGTTGGATGGACACTGTCCCAAAATACAAATTTTGAAGCGTCATCACATGTTGGTGTGATTGCATTACACAACGGAACTAGTTCAAATAAGTCAGTCCCACAACACCCTCTATTCGTTTCCTTGAAACCTATTTAATAAAATGCCAGATGAGTACAAAAGAAATATTACAACAAAAATTTCTCTGCTTTTGGAATAAAAACGTGCATGAACTTCAATTTTTATGGATAGAGCGTTTGAAATGTTAACACAAAAAATTTAAAGAAGGATTTTGTTAGTTTTTGACAGCATCTTTAAAATTGAGGAAAATTGTATGTATATTTTAAGGGGTTTGATTTTTTGATGTTACGTAAAAATTGAATTATCATGTCGTGACTCAACTAGTGAGGGCTTCACATTTATTAAATGAATATAACGTGACTCTGTTTACATTGCTCACCGTATTTTTCAGGTTGATTGATAAGGTTCATCAATGGGTCATAAACGTCTGTATAAACAACTCTGCTTCCCGGAAGCATTGCCTGTATTTGAAGTAATCGCTTTTCCAGTTTTCGATTGTAGAGCTCGGAATCTGAATTCTCATCCTCTACACATTTCCTATCCATTACAAAGTTGGCTGTTATTTGAATGGGGATGCAACCAATGGGAGGAAGCCCAGTGACGGCAAATTTTCTGCATCCAAGGTCGTATAGTTCCTACAATTTTATACAAAGAATGTAAAGTGAAAATTATCACTTTTATTACTAACCGTTGATTTGTGATTTGTGAATGAATAGCCGAAACCTTTCGTATGATATAATCAAAACAAGAGATGAGAAGTTTCCATTAATTATATAATGAATCAGACGAGACCATTATTGGTTTCTGCTAACTCACCGATATGTACGCATTGGTTGTTTATATGAAAGTAAGAAAAAACATGTATAAACACATTCATAAATAGGGAAATGTTATATATAGGGAAATGGGTGAGAAGTGAGATTCGTAGGAAAATGTAAAAAAAAGTTGTTTGGTTGGAAAAAACTTTACTGGAAAAATAAAGTAACATTTATAAAGTTTATGTTTGGTTGTTAGTAAAATATAGATAGAAAAATGCGTGTGAGTTTACAAAATTAGCCCCGACTTTAATAAGTTTTTGAATGAAAAGCAAGACAAAAAGTGAACAAAAAGTCGTGTGTTATTCTTGGTCTTTGGCAAGTACAGGTTCTAAAGAAGTGGACAAAGAGTGAAGCTACGTCATTGTCATTTTCGCGCCATTGAGAAGGATACGCTGGTCTTTAGCTTAGCACAGTAAGTGAGCAAATGTGGAGGTGTTCCACAATACCACCCCTCAAAAGGGAAACTTTAGCCGGCAAGTTGAGGGAAGATACATAGATAAATCAGAAACACAGCAAACACACTTACCTACATAAGTCAGCAAACTCATCTAACCAAACGAAGGTTTCTTACTTTTTCACTCCTCATTTATCTATGTATCTGTTGAGAATCCTAGAAACAAACAGCCCCTAAAGAACCAATTCGACCTAAATAAGCTATCTTTAATATTACATTAATAATTTTATATATTGTTAATACGGACAAATCTTTAGTGCTATTCCTTTTTTTCAAACGTGGAAAATTTGGTAACTTTTTTTTGAAAAGTGGAAATTTTTTTCCATATTTGAAAAAAGGAATACCCACTTGGATACTCTCATAGTACCGAAGATTTATTTCTCTAACACGTTCTCTCACACAAGAGTTCATTAGACTTGAAGGGTAGATAATGCAGAAGATCACTTACTTGTATTAAGAAACTCGACAAGCTTAATTAATTATTAATTAAATGGTGGCATCGAAGAGTGACACCAAATAATATAATCATAAAAAAAGACATCTATTTACCTTAAGGAAATTTTGAAGCCTATTCTGCAGATAATCTTGGTATTTTGATATGTTGAATTCCAACTTTCTAGTCGGAATGTCATAAAAATTGAAAATGAAGTCATTAGTTCCAGCACTAATAATAACCAGAGCATCTCTAAGTATTCGTTTAGCTTCATTTTCCCTAGCAATGCTTTTGAGCTTTGCTACGTAAACTTTGAAGTATTCAATTTGCTTGGACACTGATATGGCACCAGATAGGACCGTAGTCAAATCATCAAAACCTGAAGCGGCAGATGCGAAATTAACACCTGTTAGAAGATCTTCTTTTGATAGGTTTGGATCCAAGAAAGGAGGGACAGTATCTTTGAGCTTCAATACAGAGGCAAGCAAGTCAGGAACCAGTTTTCCATTAGAGAATCTACCAGTTGGCACATGACCAGGGAAATCCCTACCATAAGGCAAATGATTTCCCTTGGCCACAGTCAGGATATAGTTGTTATTGCCTGTGTCTACGGTCGAATCACCAAAGACTAAAATGGATGAAAACTTGAGTCTCATCGAGTTATTGTTTGTAGCAACAACAATGGTGCAAAGGAGCATCAAAATGATGAAGGGGATTGTATAAACCATGGCTAGCACTTTTTCAGTTGGTGTAAGATAAGGATTTAGTTACTATATATAACGCATATAAGAGACGTGTTAATTTCTTTAATTTTGAGCTTAAATTTGTATATTACAAGAGAACTTTACTTAAGAAATCAAAACTTGAGAAAAATGCCAAGACAAACATTTTAGGTGAGCGAAAACAACATGAAGGAATTTTCCGTAATTTGATTGAACTTAGTGTTTAAAGGAAAAGTGAAGAGGGAGAAATTTATATTTCAAGATAGCAAACCTACCCTACCCTGTAGAGGTGAGGCCGAGTTAGATGTTACAATAAAGCCAAGTTTGAGCCCAAGTGTAAAGAAATTTCTTGCTTAGCCATTTCGTAATGATATTCCGAACCCAAACCTTAGACCCCTGAACAACTTATTCTCTATGCGATGGGATTGGATTCATGCTAATTACTGGAAAAAAAGAAGTATCGTTTTATAAATAACTTGTGTCTTTTAGATGATTTACATAAAGTATGACTGGTCATACTTTGTGTAAATATGAAAAGTTACTTTTTTTCCCTCTCTTCAGTAAAGTAAAAAAAAAAATAACTTTTCAGATTTACACAAAGTATAACCGGTCATACTTTATGTAAATCACTAAAAGGACACAACTTGTATCCTTTTAAATGACACACACTAAACCTTAGTTAATTTATTTTTATATTTTTGACGTGAGAATACTTAGTTTCAAGTTCAAATGAAATTTTGAATTCATAATCAATGATGAAATTATAGGAAAATCCTAAACAATAATAATTAATCTTTGATTGATTACTAAGGTGATAACTTAAGGGAATCAAATTTCTCGTATGAGACTCTAGATGAATAGTAGTTAATAACTGAGATTAACTATCTATCCAAACACATGAAGAGGTCTCCCTCAAGATCATTATTATCCGATAGATTCCATGATTGATTTCATCAAAGATGGGCCACAATTCAGGAAAACTCAACATAACCACTGAACTTTATTGCAGAAAACAAGTGGAAAAATAATCAGCAATTTTAATAGCATCACTAAGTAGAAGGTATTACATTTTATTTGTGTATATCTGATTGATGCTAGATAATCTACTTATATACTCTAGCAGCGCGTCTAACCCCGAGGCATTCCTGAATTATTTCGTGATTTGCTCTGTAAAAAAAACAAATGCATTCCTTAGTAAGAAAAACGAATTTTACAACTCAATAACACACATTAATTCTCTAAGCCGTTGTATAGTCAGAGAATTTCTGTCCTTCAGGATTATTATTAAAATTAATTGTTCACGCAAATTTAGGCTCAGATTACTTGACACCGGTTTTTTTAAGAGATGGATGCTCCCCAACCCCAAGTAATCCTCATGCAGGGCTGGTTAGGAAGATTATACAGATGATGAGAAACAAGTAAATTTTAATAATATTTTTAGAGAAGAAAATGCAGTTGTGATTGGCTTACTGAATTTTCTCATTCTTTAAGATGGGAGACTGTTTTGTTAGAGGCTCTCCCTCAAGGGTGTGTTGGGATTTGGGAGAATGATTAGGGGCATTGCTTAGCCCCGCTTGACTTGGATCTGTAGTTTTTGCTTTCATTCTTTTAACAAAAAATAAATAAAATTACTTGACACCGCAATCCATATTTGTGGCAACTAATTATTTTTTAGTTTTTTTTAAAGGGTTATTTTCAATTTTATTAATTCTTTCTAGTTTATTTTAATTTTCGATTTGATTTTTATAACGAAACTTGGACCAAGTTATAATTAATGAAATGACAAGAATCAAATTAAAATAACTAAATATTATTAGGACATACATAATTATATTAATATTTTGGTTTCATAAGATACTTTTACGCTTTTTGGATATAAAATTAAGTTTCTACGGACATGAAAAAATATAATTAAATTCAATTCACAAGTGACATTTAATTATTAAAGAAGATTAACATTGAAACTTAATTGAAAAAAATGTGTTAAATTATAGTGATTATATATATTCAACCTCCAACAGAAAAATGGAATGAAGCCTTTTTTTTATGGATTAATTTTTTCTACTGTAACTTTAGATAACATATCTATGATGCACGACTTTAACTAAGTTTTATTTGTAAAATTTAGTTATAGGAAAAAATATTTGTCCTTTTAAATGATACAACTTATATCCTTTTACTCTCACAAAGAGGTAGGACCCATACTTTTATATTTTTTTGTTCACTCTCTCTCCTTCTTTATTTATCTTTTTCTCTTATTTAAAATGACACAATTTACATCCTTTAAATGATACACACTTTTCTCTTAGTTATATACTAATAAAGCTATTTTTTTTTTCTATCTCCTTAGACATTATCAATTGATGTGATGGAAAAAGAAAATCTACTTTTACCTTTATAACTAAATTCTATTAGTAAGACTTAGTTAAAATCGTACACTGCAGATAAAATTATCTAAAGTAAAAGAAAAAACCATTTTCCCTTTTTCTTATATCAATTTTAGCTCTTTAAAGTGCACTAAAAATGATGGCTTCCACCCAAAATATAATGCCTTCCTTGTTAGGATATTCAAGCTGCCCAAATCTCTCACACAGTTTGAAATTACGAGTAATGGTAGATCTCTTGTTTTTGTAGGTACAGAGACGTAGAGTTGAGTTACTAAGAAATTATAGACAGTGACCTGAAATATAATTAATATAGTTTACCTAAACTTACTAAGCATTCACAAACACATATTAATATTTGTTGAGGTCGAGTAGTTTTTTAAGTTTCTTTCATCTATTCATGCACGCACGCATGTACAAACTTGTCCCATTTTACCCATGTAAATTATGTGACTACAGCTGAGGTGCATAAATAGGACATAGCTCAAAATATATTTTCATTAATTTGAAGGATGCGCTGTACCTGATTTTCACTGCTATTACAATTGGAGCTGAGGCAGGACTTGGGTTTCTAAGTACTTAGCAATATATCGGTTGGATGCTTCACTTGGATGGTAACTGTCCCAAAATACATATTTTGAAGCGTCATCACATACTGGCGTGAGTTCATTACACAAAGGAGTTGCTTCAAATGTGCCGGTCCCGCAACACCCTTCATGTGTTATCACGAAACCTATTTGATAAAATGTCCAACATAAAAGCATAAAATAAATATGTGAATAAATTATTCTCATTTTTTTTTTTATCTTTTACATAAATCTCTGTTTTATTTTAAAAATATAAAGAAACTTTTTTCTCTAGAAAATTATTATCGAAATATAAAACAAATTCAAATAAAACTTTTCTAAGTTTTAAAGGCAATTTTAGAATTTTTTTTTTAAAAAGAATAAATACATTTTTTGGTCCCTAACAAAAAACACGGTCCCCATTTTAGTCCCTTACAAAAATAAATTAGTCAGTTAGTCCCTAACAAATTCAAAGTGGACCCATTTAGTTGAAATCGTGGTCCCTCACAAATTCATAAAAGACCCATATGAGTCCCTCAAAATGACTAAAATGTGTTCACTTTAAATTTGTTAGAGACTAATTGACTAATTTATTTTTGTAAAGGACTAAAGTGGAGACCATGTTTTTTGTTAGGGACCCAAAATGGTGTTTACTCTTTAAAAAATATGTATACATTTTTGATAAATCTGGCACATCTTTTTTTAAGCTAAAAACTACTTTGTAGCTAAAGTGTAAAAAAACCTTAAAAAGTAAAGGTAAAAGCTGTATAATAATTCTATAAAGCTATTATGAGAGGTTTGAAAAAGAGAAGATGAAATAATATTTTAATAGAATGAATTATTAGAATAAAAAATAAAATTGGTAAATAGAAATTTACAATAAGCGTTAAACTAAAAAATAAATATGAAAACTTTTAAAAACTAGAATATATCTTAAAAAAAGTTTCTCTTGAAGCTTTTAACTTTTTCTTTTTTATTCATTATAGAAAAAGCTCTTTTATAATAAGAGATTTTGTTTGGCTAAAGTTTTATTTATAAAAATAAAAATAAAAATAAGACCTCTCGTAAGTACAAAGAACTAAAAAATAATTAGTCTAAGTGTTAGCATTATATATATGGTTCGCTTTTTATGCAATTACTGCAGATAAGTTATATGCAGTAAGCTCAATACGACGTCGTTTTGAGGCGGAAATCATGGTGTTTTTGTAATTTTAAATTATTTCAGGGTTATAATAGTCTTTATATTTATAATTTTTTAAGATTTCAATACCAAAACGACGTCGTTTTGAAAATAAATGCAGATAACTTCTCTGCATTAACTTCAGAAACATTTTTCCCTTATATAAATATATTATATATATGGCTTATTGTTTCTCAAATTACTTGAGATAATTTTATCTCCGGCTACTAAATCATAATCATACAAAGATGAATCAATGGTGATAAAGGAAGAGAGAGAAAAGGGGAATCATAATCATTCAAGGTGAATTAATTAATATAAGGAAATAAATAAACAAAACGACATAGTTTTGGAATACTGGCCGGAGATAAATTTATCTCAAGTTGTCGGAGAAATATTTTTTTCATATATATATATATATATATATATATATATATATATATAGTAAATACCCTTTTTGGTCCTCAACAAATTTCACGATTCTCGCTTTAGTCCCTAGCAAATAAAAAGGCTATTCGTGGTCCCTAAAAAATTCAAAATAGATCCATTTAGTTGAAATTGTGGTCCCTCACAAATTCAAAAAAGACCCACATTAGTCCATCAAAATGATTAAAATGGGTCTTTTTTAGTCCTTTTAAGGGACCACGAATAGCTTTTTTATTTGCTAGGGACTAAAGCGGGTATCGTGAAATTTGCTGAGTACCGAAAAAGGTACTTACTCATATAAATAAATATATATATATATATGGGCTTATCGTTTCTCAAGTTGTTTGAGATAATTTTATCTCCGGCTACTAAATCATAACCGTAAAAAGATGGATCAACGGTGATAAAGGAAGAGATAGAGAAAAAGGGAATTATAACCATTCAAATGTGAATCAATTGATATAAGAAGATAAATAAATAAACTACGTAGTTTTGGGGTAGCCGAAGATAAACTTGAAAAATGTTTTTCTCTCTCTCTATATATATATATATATATATATATATATATATATATATATATATACATATAATAAAAAATATAGCCCACCGTATTTTTCAGGTTGATTGACAAGGTCGATCGATATGTGATATAAGTCTGCATAAGCAATTGTGCTTCCTGGAAGCATAGCTTGTATTTGAAGTAACCGCTGTATCAATTTTTTATTGTATCGCTGAGAATCTGAATTCTCATTCTCTACACATTCCCGGAACAATATATGCTTCAGTGATATTTGAAATGGTACGCAACCAACGGGAGGAAGCCCAGCAACAACTATCTTTAGGCATCCATGGTCATATAGGTCCTACAATTTTACACACAGAATATGTTAACTATACTATTAGTTGTTATTTATAGGTGATAAAAAAAGGAAAAATGGAAAGATCATGAACCAATAAATAAATTTAACGTACATAGCCTCTGTACCATTATTTATTTATATATTTATGGTAACATTAGTGGGGAACTGACTTTCCAGCCAGGAATTTGGACAACTGGTTTATTCTATCGAGTCACTAGAAACTAATCATTGTTGTTTATCTAAAAGAACATGCATAGCCTAAGCATAAATAAATTAAACATTTTTTTTTTTGTCTATATTTCTTCCCCCTTATGAATTTCTATATGTCATCAACTTTGAAAACATGCATAATTTAGTTATAGTAATGACTTCAGATTACCTTAATGATGGTTTCAAGCTTATCTTGCAAATAATCGTGGTACTCATCTATATTGAACACCACCCTTCGAGTAGGAAGGTCGTAGAAATTGATAATAACATCATTAGGTCCTGCAGCAATGATAACCAGAGAATTTCCAAGTATTTGTTTGGCTTCATTTTCTCCTACGATGAGCTTGAGCTTTGCTACATAAGTTTTGAAGTATTCAACTTGCTGTGACACTGGTATGACACCTATTTCAGCTGCAGTTAAATCATCAAAACCTGATCCCCCAGAAGCAAAGCTAACACCTGTGAGAAGTTCTTCATCTGATAGGGTTGGATCCAGGAAAGGAGGGAGAGTGTCTTTGATTTCCAAAATAGAGGCAACAAAGTCAGGAACAACTTTTCCATTACAGAATCTACCATTGGGCACATGACCAGGGAAATCCCTACCGTAAGGCAAACGATTTCCCTTGGCCACTGTCACAATATAGTTGTTATTGCCAGTGTCCACTGTAGAATCACCAAAGACTAGAATGGATGAGTAATTGCGTATTGCCAAGGCACTGTTAGCAGCAAGAACAATGGTGTAAACATGCATCAAAATGATAAATTGAAATGAGAGGGCCATTACTATAGCTGTTTACTTCTTTCTTTCTTTCTTTTTTCCCACCCATAACACATATGGCTTTACCCACTACATCTACAGGACATTTATATGTACATTTACATGCAGATAAACATTAATTTATGTCGAACAGCTAATTAACTAGTTTTGTCGGAAGCATTCAAAGGAAATAAATTTATTTCTTTATGAAAATATTTAAAGTGACATTTATTTTAAAATGAAAAAAATACGTTATTGTATAAAAATCCTCTCGTTACGTAACATCAACAAAGGACGGCTCATGCATCACGAGACTTGATTTTTATCTGAACATCGACAAGGGAAGTTGCTTTCACACCTGATCTTTGATTGCTTCCTTAGTGTGAGGTGAAGGGTAGAGAGATCTAGAAAAAGTAAATAAATGGAAATAATTTGGTTATCTTTTGAATAGTTTGTTAAGGAGAAAGCCTAGTGATCTCTTCCCTTATTAGTTTTCATGGAGAGTTAAGTTAAAAGGTTAGAAAAGAAAAAAAAAAAAAGTAAAAGAGGAGAGAACATTTTTTCAGGGACATGCTGTAGCAGAGAATACTTTTTCTCACACAAAAGTTCAGAAGATTACTATAACCTCCTGCATGTGACACCTGAAAACAGAACCAGACAATAACAACACACACAAACTCCTAATACTGTCTCGAATCAATGTCACTGCACCGTCATCGAATTCCCAAGTTTTAACTACGCCGGTTATCCCATTCTATTCCTAGCCTACACTTAATGCTTCTTAATGCTTTCCATTATCGTTTGTGTGGTTTTCTAGGTCGCCGTTGCTTTTGTGTTAGTGTTCGATCATTATCAAGTTAATTTGACCTAGTTGGAATTTTTTTTTACTGGTTTATTTATTAGTTATTTTGAACTCAAGGACCAAATTTGCCATAATACCACAGCTTTTTAAAGGGTCAAGTTATAATTGATGGAAATGATACTCTCACGTTTTATTTAACATAGTTATATTTTGTGAGAAAATCCTAACCACATAGAGGTGAATCAATAGTGGTGATTTTATAACTATACTCTAATATATTTTTTTTCTCTTTCCTTATCATCATTGATAACTTTTGTATGATTATAATTCTCCAATATAACATAGTTATGTTAATTAACACATAAGAGGATCTATTATAGAAATTGATATAAATAAGATTTAGTTTTTTTATTATATTTATTGAATATAATTCTCTTTTTGGGTTAAGCTTATTCTCAGAGTAGATTTGTTTTCTTTAGAAAAAAAAAATTAATTATTAAAATTTTAAAAAAAATGTAAAGGGAAAAGGTTAACATGATAAGTTAGTTAAATAATCTATAAAATGAAGAGTAAGTTTCAAATCAAACTCATTAATTAATTATTAATTCGCAATAAATGATAACCGTTGATTGGCGAAAATCAACGATTAAGATGTGATAGTAACATTGGTAGTAACATTATCCTATCCCTTAGTTTTTTTTACTTTATGTACTCTCGGTAGTACATAGTTATAATATGAAAAATTACTTTTTTTTTTCTTTCTCCTCAGTCACATCAGCTGATGTGGAAAGTGAAAAAAAGTAACTTTTCACGTTATAACTATGTAATCCCGGGAGTACATAAAGTAAAAATTAAAAGGACACAACTTACATCCTTTAAAAGGATACACACTAAACCCTATTTTTTTTTTTTTTTGGTAAAGTACTAAATCCTATTAAATACTGAAGTTTAAAGACAAAAATAAATTTTCATTAATTTATTTTTACTTATTTTTTCTAATTTTAAGGTTATTATACGGGCATAATCAACTAAAAATAAAAATAATTTGATAGATATTAAATGTGTTTTTAATTAAATTTCCAACATTTTTTTATATCTAATCAGACATAAACAAGATAAAATGAGTTGATTTATTTTTGAAAAAATAAGTTGAAAATATTAACTCATCCTTGTTGTAATAGACAGATGGATCAATAAATCAACCTATTAAAGTAAAAATAAATAAATAAATAAAATACTAGAGGAAAAGCTAATAAAAATACAATATTTTTATCCAGGGTTGAAAAACCAAATCAAATTAAAAAGAAGCACTTGCAGAATAAGATGAAAAGTATACATGTTTTGAAATTATATTTTCTAATGTGTTTGTGTGCTACATAATGTGTAAATAATTATATTATGTTATTTAATATATATTGGGTAAATCAAAGTGATTAAATAAAGATGTCCAAATAAATTCATAAGTAAATGTGGGACAAATGGGAGGATACCAGTGTTGGACCAACTAGGTATAATAGGAGCTTATTGGCCCAATAATAAAGAAAAACATTATAAAGAGTTATGGTCCCCAATATGTCAAATAACAACCTTAGTTTTTCTTCCCCATCAAGAGAAAGATAACACACTGAAAAATAAGGATTAAAATTATTTGACCGAGGAAGATCACATACCCCAAAGGTGAAGATCGAAGTTATTCCGCTGTTATGGTGACAGGTATGCCTACATCTTTCTGTTAAATATTTCTTTACGATTTGGTATGATGTATCTTGGTTTGTTGGTGATGGTTATCACTATAAGATTAAGAAGAATTATTATTCCAACAATACATGGATACTTAACTGACACTTTATTTGATAATTACTAGCTAAACATGTTTAATTTAGTAAAAAAAATCATATTATAAGGATGCACTTGTCAAAATCAGAGAAAAACCAAGCATACATGCTTTATTACTGATACGGTAAAGGATTTTATCTATTCTCATATTATAGGAGATAAATTTATCTTTAACACACATAAAAATATATGGGGCCATGTGAAAAAAAGAAAGAAAAAATATAGGTCTCACATACTCTTAAACTAGTGTATTACCCTTGCGATGCACGAGAAAAAAAAACCGTTTTATTTGTCTCGTAAAAGTTAAAGAAATTTTTTAACCAAATCTTATATGAATAGTACTGTATATGACATAAGCATGTAATTTTTCAAGTAGGAACAAAAAAGGAACTAGATTTTTTTTTCCAGTGTCAAATGAAATAATGATGTTGAACAGTACTTGAAGATAATATATTTATGGTACTTGAAGATAATATATTTATGCTTTCAGATATTCAGCTAACAAAACAGGTATTATCAACACAACAATATTATATACAAAATAGAGCAATTAATAAAGTCTTAATGAAAAAATAAAAATAGGCAAATGGTTTGCAACTTAATATTTGATGTCTGTAATATACTCTTAAGTATAAATAAGATAATGACGCAAAATCTCCATCAAAAAAATTTAAATGTTGTGCTTGACACCAAAATAATAAGAAAGATGCCCCACCTATACTTGCAAAAGTTGTAAAATTCATTCTACCATGTACTTTTGGTCCTTGCTCCTGTTAGAAATGAATCATAAACAATCTACAAATAATAGTGTGAATAGAAAACATCATTGTACGAGAATAAAATAGTGTTATGGCAATGCATCCATTTCAGAATTACCATGAAATACCGTTTCTGCAAAAATAACAGTTAATAAAGTACTGATTGTGCCTCAATAAAAATGATTAAAAAAGGACTTATAAAAAGAATTCATTTTTACCTGATACCAAACAACAATGTTATCTCTTTATAGAAATGACCAAATATACTACACTAATCTTAGAAATACTTCCTTATAGACTATGTTAAAAGTACTATTTGTAACACATCCATTTTCATCAAGTATCAATATCTTCAATCCCTGCACTTTCCTCTATATAGTGCCACATATAATTGTCCATGAGTGAAGACAGGCCTAGGGAGATAAATTCCAACATGAGAAAGTGATTGTCCTTGACTCTTGTTGATAGTCATGGCAAACGAAACGACCAGGGGAAATTATCTTCTTTGGAAATTTACAGAAAATGTATGACTTGATGGACTCATCGTCATTCTAGGGATTAACACAGTTTCTCCTATATTGCTTCCCTGTAAGAATAATTGCCTCAACAAAATGATTCCCCAACTCTGACTTGAATACTAAATCTATCATTTTGTAAAATTGTATATCAGTTACACATAATAAGGAACTGGATTAAAGACAATTTATAATCTTCTCAATGTTTCTGGCAGTTCTTACAGTACCACTTCTCAAAATCTTCACAAACGGAAAATAGACATTTCTTGAAAGACTTGTAACATCAGTTGTATTTGCTTTCAATAGATTTTATAGTCCCATTTGTGATGTAGGTTGTAACCTGAAATACAGACGTCCTAGGAAAAAAGGAACAATTAATATACAGACTTCATATAGATCCACCAAAGCATCAATCCAAGTTCAATATTTAAGTCACTACAGAGCTTGACATCACTGATAGACTTTCTTTCAGTCTCTTTCAGATAATCATTTTCTAAAGAATATGAAGACTGAGTAGACAATTGAGTCAACCTCAGACAAAAGATTAAAACACAAATATTTAAGAATAATAACCACACCGTTTTTTGAACTCAACAATCTCTAGCACCTTCGAATCCAAGACAATCCTTGTCGTATAATTTGTATTCGTTATCCCTATTTTACCTATCAAATAAACAAAACATAATAGAGCGAGATGCATGTACCAACTGTGTATAACACAGTACAGAAATAAAACATTGAATGACATATATACAGGAGAAAACATACCCTTAAAATCCTCTATCCTTTCCAGTTGAACTATTATCACATTCAAAGTAGTGTCACTGTTTGCCAAAAAAGATTGCACCTCATCTAGATAATGCTCCTACAAAGTGCACTCCAGCTTGTGACCTCTATATATATCAGTAGTAGCAAGAAGAACGTTATACATGAAATATATTAGTTAAGAGAGTGTCAACAAGGTTATTTTATTTTACTTTAACGTTTTAAATACCTGAGGTTGTCAAGCTCCAACACAACCAAATTGATTTTCTTACCGAAAACTATATGTTCACAAACTTCCCCAATTCCTGACAGTAAACCAATGATGTCTACAGAACAAAGAAGGCAACA